TTTTCTGATATCTAACTAAACCGTTATGGCTTTGAGTTGTGGTGCTTTTTAAAATTTTTTTTTTGAGACAGAGTCTTACTCTGTCACACAGGCTGAAGTGCAGTGGTGCGATCTCGGCTCACTGCAACCTCTACCTCCTGGGTTCAAGTGATCCTCTTACCTCAGCCTCCCGAGTTGCTGGGACTACAGGTACACACCACCACGCCCAACTAATTTTTGTACTTTTTTGCAGAGACGGGATTTTGCCATGTTGCCCAAGCTGGTCTCGAACTCCTAAGTTCTAGAGATCCTCCTGCCTCAGCCTCCCAAAGTGCTGGTATTACAGGTGTGAGCCACAGTGCCTGGCTGTGGTGTGTTTTACATAGGTCTTTTGTCCTCTTTTATTTTGTTAGAGCTGTGGAAATGGGTGGTAGCCTGAATGGAAGGATTTTCATCTGCCCCCCCCCCCCCCCCCGCCCCCGCCGTCAGGTAGGAGAGCTGAGGCTTCACGTTCTCCCTGGCTCTCCTTGTGGCATTTGTGAGCAGCTTGATGTATTTGACACAAGTGTGACAGCAAAGAAATGTGTGAGCAGAGCAGTGTGCTGCAGGGCCCAGCTGTGTGGATTTATCTGTACATCAGGCCGAGGAGCAGCAGTTAGCCAGATCTGACAGTCAAACGTGAGCTCCTTCTACCTGCAGTCCAGAGTGCATTTTAATGTTGTGTGTGTTTACCGTGGTTGGCATTTGACACAAAGAAAATTGTCAGTGCTGTTTTTTTCCTCTCCTCTTTTACAAATAAATACTTCATTGTACATGGACAAAAGTATGCACTTTCTAAAACAATGCCAAAAATCATGTTGTCTTCATCTTTATACTGCATTTCATATGAGGAATTCGTAGATTTGAGTTGGTAATAGGTAAGATGTTGAATAGGTAAGATGCTTACATGGTGCAAAAGTCAAAACAATATAAAATAGAATATTGTGAGTAGTCTTGGCTCTGCCTCTGTCCCTTTCTAGTCATTTCCCACCTCTGTTGATTGATAATCACTTTAATAGTCTGTCATGTATTCTTTATGTTTCTATATGCAAATACAAGCAGATGTTCTGTGTCTTGCTTTTTACTTCCCAATATCTTCTGGAGAGCTTTTTAGTTCACAAACAGAGACTGGGTATGGTGGCTCGCTCCTGTAATTGCAGCACTTTGGGAGGCCAAGGTGGGCAGATCACCTGAGGTTAGGAGTTCAAGACCAGCCTGGCCAATATAGTGAAACCCTGTCTCTACTAAAAAATACAAAAGTTAGCTGGGTGTGGTGATGCATGCCTGTAATCCCAGCTACTCAGGAGGCTGAGGCAGGAGAATTGCTTGAATCCAGAAGGTGGAGGTCGCAGTGAGTCGAGATCGCGCCACTATACTCCAGCCTGGTGATGGAGTGAGACTCTGTCTCAAAAAAAAAAAAACCCAAAAACAAAAACCTGAAAAACACCAGAGAGCATCCTTGTTTTTGTTTACTGTTGCATTATACTTCATCATGTGGATATCCTGTAGTTTATTCAACTGCCCTCTGTGGCTGGAGATTTGCATTGTTTCTAATCTTTTTGCTCTATTGAGATAATTCACGTATCATAAAATTCACCCTTTTGAAATATCCAATTCAGTGTGTACTCCAAACTTTTCTTCTACAAATAATATGATGTAATGAGTAGTCTTGTGCGTATATTCTTCTGAACATGGTAAAAGTATATTAGAAGGCTAAATCAGAAGTAGGATCGCTGGCTCACATGGTAAATGTATTTGAATTTTGAAAGGAATTGACTGTTACCCTCCCTAAGTATGATTCTGTTTTGCCCTCCTGACAGCAGAAAAGGAGAGGGCCTGTTTCTCTTAGTCTTACTCCCTTTTCATAAAGGAATCTTAATCTTTGATTTTAATAAAGCAGTCAAAAAATTTTTAATTTTGATGTTTATGAGCTACCAATTTAATTTAATATTGTTATGTGATTGATTTCATTGATGCAAACATGACCCAAACTTCTCTTTATGTTTGTAAATACTGTTATTTAATAAATGACCTTGTCAGTTACTTAGTAAAATCGCAAGTAGTGAGTGTTGATGTTCAGAGCAGATTTTTATCTGTATGGTCTTAATATGGGTGATTTCCTGGCCCCCATTCTCTGCTGTCATATAGATACAACAATGCTCACAGTATTAAAATGAAAATTCCTAGTAGAAGATCAATTATATGCTGCTTTCTCTAGAGTAGGAAAAATCTTGTCAAATTTTGTCCTTTTGATACAGCCTTCTAAGTTACAATGTTTTATACCTGTCTGATGCTCAGTTCTGAAATGAACTGAGAAGTGGTGGTTGTTACAAGCATTTAGCTGAAGCATTAATTACAAGTAGAGGTTCAGCCTACATTGGCACTTGTCGACCTATGGGACAGGTCTGTTGCTGTTTTATCTGATTTAGGTGGAGTACATAATTCCTTTTGGGAGTCCATACTTTTGTGTTCCTCTTTATACGTAGATTAGCTTTACTGATGGACTGTCATGAAGAGATCTTAAGGTGGCGTTTGCAAGGTGGAGCCATTTCAAGGTTTGAGAAATGTGCATTTGAATTATTCAAGGCTCACCTTTTTTGGCATTTATAAATATTCTGGCACTTTGTGTATGAAAAAGACTAAGAATTTGGTAACATATTCATAGGAAAATGGAGGCTTTTCTGAGCTTGAAGTAAAAATTGAGGTATAGATTGTGATTAAATTTATGATGAAGTGCAGAAATGTACAAGTATATGCATGGAAATATCACTGGTTCTTTCTGTGGCACAAATAATGGTTAATACTGAAAAACCAATAAATCAATTAACCAGTAGTGAATTATCCACACTGGTTTGTTGATTATTTGTAATGGGGTGTGTTAATGTATTATAATTATAAAAGTATTCGTAATTTAGGCCAGACATGGTAGCTCATTCCTGTAATCCCAGCACTTTGGGAGGCCAAGGCGGGTAGTTCGTTTGAGCCCAGGAGTTTGAGACCAGCCTGGCTCTCATACTGAGACTCATCTCTACAAAAAAAGTAAAACAAAATTAGCCAGGCATGGTGGCATTGCACCTTTTGTCCCAGCTACTTGGGAGGCTGAGTTGGGAGAATCACCTAAGCCCCAGAACTCAAGGCTGCAGTGAGCTGTGATTGGGCCACTACGCTTAGCCTGTGGGACAGAGTGAGACCCTGGCTTAAAAAAAAAAAAGTATTCATAGTTTAACTGGTAAGTCAACCTTTTCATTATAAATGAGAAAACACCTATAGTCTAAATAAAGGCTTTGATTAAATAAATATAATAGAATTATACCTAAGAGTAGAATTTGTTTTTGTGTCCCTTAGGTCAGTTGGGGGCTATACTTCTATTCCCTTTCTCTTTCCTCGCTTTAGATAATGATACAAAAACGTCTGGAAAGAATTTGTGTTCTACCCAAAAGGAAGTTTCCTCTGACTACTCTGATTGTGATGGGTTTGTGAGAGAAGACTGCTCTCCTGGGGTGGGAGAGGATAGTACCTAGGGCCTCCATGTTTGGTTGAGTAGGTTGTGCACCATATAAAGACAGTGGCCATGGGAACAGGTGGAGCCTGAAATCCAGTTTGTGTTTACCAAGCTATATTCTTACTGAGTGGGACTATATTGACCCAGAGCAAGGTGTACCATTATCTAGTTCTTCTAAAGGTAACTTACTGGCTGACAGTAGCTTTGATGATGCATTTATGCATTTTTATTTAAAACCCAGTTGTTTCTGCTGTTTTTGCTTGCTTTCTTACAGATAATGTCTATAGTATGTACATGTCTGTATATATAGGCGTCTGTGAGTGTATTTGTACATTTTTGCCATTTATGAGCCACGTACACATACAAACTCCATATATTCTTGAATGTAAGGTCAGATATTGTTTGAAAAATATTCCTCAGAAGGAGGAAGGTGCCTTATATGTATCGGATTCTTTATAAGATACTTTATCATATGAGGTCCCCTCTCAGTTACTTTGTTTGAATAGCACAGTACTGTTGGGGAAAAGATAGGCTCTTGAAATAGCCTCAGACAATGCTGGCTTTGAGTGCTTTAAAAGGCTGCTTCATGAAATTGAAAAAGAAAAGAAACAAAGATGTTAACACAGATTTAGTAATTATTGTAGAGACGATAGATCACTCTAAAAAAGCAATTCTGTAAGTGGATATGATCTCAAATAAATGTTTACAAGATGAATAAATATTCCAGATATCCCAACATTATGCAAACGGATACTTGTGGCTCGGTTTGGTATTTCCATTGATAGTACCTTAAAAGGATTTACAAGCTACTATGTCTCAAGCAGATTATACAGACAGGCGTTTGCTCTGAAAAACTATATGGGATGACTTGTAAGGTGACTCTAGTGATGAAAAAGACCCAGATGGCAACAATATATGTGAAGAATGAATTAAATTGTCTCATGAAATGAGAGAGTGAATAAAATTATTTCAAAATTTATGCTTCATATAATGTATAATTTAGTATGTATGTAATTGGCTAGGTGCTATGACTCATGCCTGTAATTCCAGCACTTTAGGTGGCCAGGTTGGGAGGACTGCTTGAGGCCAGTACTTTGAGACCAGCCTAGGCAACATAGCAAGACCTTGTCCCTACTAAAAATAAAAAAAAAATTATTCAAGCATGGAGGCACCTCTTAGTCCCAGCTACTTGGGAGGATAAGGCGGGATGATCACTTGAGACCAGGAGTTTGATGTTACAGTGAGTTATGATCATACCACTGTATTCCAGCCTGGGTGACAGAGTGAACTGTCCCTAAAAGAAAAGTTTGTAATTTAATTAATACATTTTATAATTGACATTTGACTAATTTCTATCTCTAAAATATAAATTCAAGTTGGCTAAAAATTTTTTGTATTCTCTTATTGGAAAAATAAGAGAACATCCTAATTTGGGTCATTGTATATTCACTTATATGTAATTATTATTATTTTCAAACAGAAACTGAGGCTTCTTGAAGAGCTTGAAGACACTTGGCTTCCTTATCTAACTCCCAAAGATGATGAATTCTATCAGCAGGTAAGGTATTTTAATATTTTTATCAATTTCAGTGATGTGTTCTGATTGATCTTATTTTACCTGTGAGGTAGCAGGGCTAGAGAGGTTAGATAACAGGTGAAAATGTCAAATTTGATCCCCCTGTGACTCCTCATGGCCTACAGAGCATGTACATTTCTTCACAATCAGCTTTTTGCTGTGTACTTAATACTTTAGCATTGTGACTATTTTTACTTCCTCAGACATTCCACGCTTCCTTGCCTCTGATCGTGCTGTTACTTCTGTATAGCTCCTCATCCTTCTTCTTACTCCTTACCCTATTACTTGCCCTGCTGCAGATGGCTAATTCTTCAAGAGTTCAGTTAAACATCACCTCCTATGTGAACATTTTCCCAGCTTACCCTACCTACAAGTCGATTGCACTCTTATTCCTTGTAAATAACTCTACACCACCTAGCACATGGTATTGGAATTATAGGATTCCATGTCTCTCTCTCTGAATTAGTCACCACTGTTTCAATTACACATGATAAAAACCCAAATCAAACTCACTGTGGCAAAAAATAAGGGATAAGGGGAATCTATTGACTTGCCTTAGAAGTCCAAGAGTATGTGGCTAACTTGAACTTTATAAAAGATGTCACCCAATCACTGGTTTTCTCTGTTGTTCTTGGCTTAGTTTTCCTCATTGTGACCTCGTGCTTAATAGGCTTTCATCTGAGAGTCTAGCAGGACTCTTGGCAGCATCTGGTCTTTGGCATCTGGGATCTTAGAAAAATGTAGTGAGTTCTTTTTCCCTTATTCCATCAAATTCTCCAGAAAGTAATGTTGGCCTGGTTGGAGTCATATGCCTATCTGTGAACTAGTCATCGTGTTCAGGAGAGTCAAATGCTCCTGTTTGCCTCGCCTGGTTCATGCAGCTACTCGTGGAGTGGGGTTGGAGTGAGGGTACTCCCACCACACTGCATGCACTATGTGACTTAGACACGGTTGACTTCCCCAAAGGAAAATTGGAGTCCTGTTTCCAAAGAAGGAAGGGTAAGTCTTCTGGGCATATAAAAATAATGAATTTTCACCTCTTCTTTCCTACTAGAATGTAAAGTCTTGGGTTATAGGAATTAGATCACAGCATCTTTGTATCTCTAGCACCTGCAGGTACCTAGCTGACCATCAGTAACCAAGGAAGGAAGAGAGAAAGGGAGGACTTTACTCATTTAGAATCCAGGGCAATATGATTTCTGTGACTTCTAGTTCAATATTATTTCTAGGACACTGTCTCTTATCTCCATTCTCATTTGATTTGCACCATCTTTCCTTTTCACGATCAGTCCTCTTGTAGGTCTCTCTCGTTTCTCTCTTTACCCCACCACCTTCATCCTTGAAGCTGTAGTATTTTCTAACCAAGATGTAAATCTGAGCATGGTAACCCTCTGCTTCAAATCCCACATCATCGCCTGACTCCTGCATTTTCAACCTCATCTTCCTGCTCCTATACCTTTTTATCCACACTGGATTTTTGCAGTACTTCAAATTTGCTATGAATTTCATCTTTGGGGCCTTCTTGCTACGTCCTCTGCTGACATACCTCCTTCTCTTTATCTGTCTCCTCTTTCTTTTTTTTTTTTTTTTGAGACGGAGTTTCGCTCTTGTTACCCAGGCTGGAGTGCAATGGCGCGATCTAGGCTCACCGCAACCTCCGCCTCCTGGGTTCAGGCAATTCTCCTGCCTCAGCTTCCTGAGTAGCTGGGATTACAGGCACGCGCCACCACGCCCAGCTAGTTTTTTGTATTTTTAGTAGAGACGGGGTTTCACCATGTTGACCAGGATGGTCTCGATCTCTCGACCTCGTGATCCACCCGCCTCGGCCTCCCAAAGTGCTGGGATTACAGGCTTGAGCCACCGCGCCCGGCCTCCTCTTTCTTTTAAAAAATTTTTTTTGACAAAAGATCTCAATTCTGTTGCCTAGACTGGAATGCAGTGGTGCCATCTGGACTCACTGCAACCTCTGCTTCCTGGACACAGGCGATTCTCCCGCCCCAGCCTCCCAAGTAGCTGAGACTACAGACCACGCCTGGCTAATTTTTAAAATATTTTTGTAGAGACAGGGTTTCACCATGCTGCCCAGGCTGGTCTTGAACTCCTGAGCTCAAGCCATTCGCATACATTGGGCTCCCAAAGTGCTGGGATTACAGCCATGAGCCACCACACCCCGCCTGTCTCTTCTTTCCCTGGTAAACTTCTGTGTTACCTGTTAGTAACAGCTCATATGTCATCTCCTGTAAGAAGCTTCCCTGACATCTCTACAACCAGTTATCTCTGCCTCTGCTCTTGTACTTTATCTATACCTTTGTCAGCACTTAATCTCACTTAATTTTTTTTTTTTGAGACAGAGTCTCGCTGTGTCATGTCCAAGCTGAAGTGCAGTGGCCAGATCTGAGCTCATTGCAACTTCTTCCTCCTTGGTTCAAGTGAGTGCGTCTGGCTAATTTTCCTATTTTTAGTAGAGACATGGTTTCACCACATTGGCCAGGTTGGTCTCGAACACCTGACCTCAAGTGATTTGGTTTCCCAAAGTGCTGGGATTACAGGTGTGAGCCACCATGTCCGGCATTAATCTCGTGTAATTGTAATGATTTTTTTTTTTTTTTTGGTATGCTGGCTTCCCTTATCCTGTGTACTTTGTTCAGTTCCTGGTACCTATCAGGTGCTGGATGTGTTTGCTTGAATGTATGCATGCATGCATGCAATAGTTAATTTGGAAAACCAGTTATATATAATAATGATGAGTTTAGTATGATTTGAATTTTGCTTCTATACACATACACACCTACCCAGGGAGTTGGCATCTGGAAAGATTTGACAGATGTGTACAGGAATGTCATACCACATAGTGAAAGGGTGAGTGTTTTCTTTTGAGCTTTCCCAGTCTTCCAAATTATCTGCAGTGAATGTATATTCTTTTGCAATCAGGGAAAAAAATCATTTTTAAAAGTACCCTTAAGACAGGTAAACATACAAAAATGCAATTAGTTCTGAAATGCTTACTAATATTTTCCTAGCTATAAGCCTCTGGTATGTGATTACACGCATTGTCAGAAAGCAACTGCCGATCCATTTCAGCTTTTGTGGTGTGAAAATGGTACAGGAAGAATGAAATACAAAAGGTTATCAGCCCGCTGTGCTCTGAACCAGTCATCCACTCAGGGATAAAAGGAAACCCAAATGCAAACAGAACAACTATCAAGACTTTTCTGTTATCTTTCCAAGGCCCATAACAAACCCTGATACCAGTATCTAATCACGCTAAGTGCACCTTCTTTTTTTTTTTTTTTTTTTTTTTTTTTGAGATGGAGTCTTGCTCTGTCGCCCAGGCTGGAGTGCAGTGGCACGATCTCAGCTCACTGCAACCTCTGCCTCCTGGTTTCAAGCAGTTCTCCTGCCTCAGCCTCCTGAGTAGTTGGAACTACAGGTGCATGCCACCATGCCTGGCTAATTTTTTATATTTTTAGTAGAAATGGGCTTTCACTGTGTTAGCCAGGATAGTCTTAATCTCCTGACCTCAGGTGATCCACTTCCTCGGCTGGGATTACAGGTGCAAGCTACTGCGCCTGGCCACCTTTTTTTTTCTTTTTGAGACAGAGTCTCACTCTGTTGCCCAGGCTGGAGTACAGCAGTGCAGTCTTGGCTCACTGCAACCCTGCCTCCTGGGTTCAAGCGATTCTCTTGCCTCAGCCTCTCAAGTGGCTTGTGTTACAGGTACCTTCCACCATGCCTGGCTAATTTTTGCTAATTTTTGTAATTTTAGTAGAGACAGGATTTCACCTGAGGCCAACATACCTGGAGTAGAGGGAGAGAGCTCATGAGAGTAAGGCAGATGCAGTCACAGAGAGAGACGGGGGCCTGGTTATACAGGAACTTACAGTCTGTCCTGAGAATATTGGCAGTTACTCTGAGATGAGGAGGTATGAGAGGGCTTGGAGCACAAGTGTGACAGGATGTGACTTACATTTTAGTAAGGATTCTTTCTACAAGGCTCTTCCCACTCAGCCTCTTCTCTAATAGGGTCTGCTAGTTCCATTCTTGAAATTAGAAAGCTCACCACCCTCAACTTCTACCCATTGCTTTCTCCCCTCATTTAGTCACTGGGCCCCTGCAGTTTTACCTCTTCAGCATCTCTCAGATTGTTTTTTCTTTTCCCATCCCACAAACATTACCTGAACTATGTAGGCCACATTGGTCACCTTCTGCCTCCGCAGTTTTAGCCTCCTCTTGATCGGCGTTCCTCGTGCCCTCCCCAGTGCCATCAGAACTGACCTGTACCTCCTTGTTTGATAAATGTTGCAGAGTCTCCTTCGCTTCCAAGGTCAAGTTCGAATTCTTCAGCATATCCACCCTATAAGGCCATTGACTTTCTTTCTTTCTCTTTTTGAGACAGAGTCTCACTCTGTCGCCCAGGCTGAAATGCAGTGCTGTGATCTTGGCTCACTACAACCTCTGCCTCTTGCTTGAACCCAAGAGGCAGAGATAGTAGTGAGCCAAGATCGCAGCACTGCCTCAGCCTCCCAAGTAGCTGGGACTGCAGGCGTAGGCCTCTATGCCTGGCTAATTTTTGTATTTTTAGTAGAGACAGGGTTTTGCCATGTTGGTCAGGCTGGTCTCAAACTCCTGACTTTAAATGATCTGTCCATCTCAGCCTCCCAAAGTGCTGGGATTACAGGCATGAGCCACCGGGCCTGGCCGCCATTGACTTTCTGACCCCAGTCTACCTCTGTGGTGTAATCTCATCCCATGGCCTAAAATGGCGCCCAACTGTAAACCCCTTTAATGGGGAGTTCTTGGTTCCACCCTGACTCTGCTGGGCCGTCTTATCCTTCCTGGCCTTTGTGTCCACTCGTACTCTCTTCCCTCTTCTGTCTGGTGAGCAGCTACTTTTAAAGACCCTACTTAAACACTACATATTCTGTGAAGGCATCAGAAAATCCCTTTTGTTCTAAATTGCATGAAGAACCTGACTGTTTTTC